GTTTGTCAGAAATGGAGTAATAAGAGAGTCTGCTGTTTATGTAGGCCTTTCAAAGCAAGCCTCTGTTATAATGCGGAGAAAATATCATGTTCAACTGCCATCTTGTGATCAGTGAGTGAAGTGCAATAAGAAAAGAAAATTCTCCCTCAGCTGTTCTTTTTGTACCATTATTTGGTTGTATCGTCTAAATTACTACCCATGAGAGGTTATGATCTTCTCATGTTTAAATATGTAATATAGCATCATCTTATTACATGTGTGCTAAACTGCAGAACATAAATCTGAACATGAAATAAAGCCAGGATTTCAAAAAGAAATTGATTTACTTTTTTAAAACAAGAATTTTCAAAGGGAATCTCCTTTGTATCACCCCATACTGTAAATCAACCACAGTATACACAGAGATGTAAAGTAACATGTTGCTAGAATCTATACATGAATAGATGTCTTTAACTTACAGATACCACCCTAAAATGTTGCCAGTTGATTATTGCACTACTTAGTTTTTGGAAATGTGATGCTTGGATATGCAAATGAATACTAACTTTGAGTGAATTCAGTAGTAAAACAGAGGCAAAAAAACAAAGTGTTGTAAAATAAACACTTTAATGTATATTTTCTTTTCACTAGTCTAAAATATGTAATTGAAGTAAAAAAGAAAAACCGAACTCTCATTATTGACCAGTTCATGAAAACACTTGTTTTTTGCTTGCAGGGATTGCATTTGCCTCTAAAGTATTAATTTCACTGAGAATCAAGAATGGCAGCAGAGCTATAAATGCATTTGTAGGTAATGATTTTGTTTTGCAGATGCATTGAGCAGGAACTACCAAAAACCCAGAGATTGATGACACTATGCTAGGTGGGACAAACTTTTGTTTGCCAACTACAGAAAATACTCTATAACCTCAACCCTCAACCCTAACAAGAAAACAAAAAACCTCATTATCAAAAGACCTGCAACAATATGTTCTGCAGGAAGAATGGCTCTACTGGGATTACAGTGAATTTACAGCAGAGAACTCAAAGGTAACTGACTGAAACAAAAAGTCAGAGGCTTCATGTTAAAGTATTCAAGTGAACAAAGCAAAAAGCCATGAAGTGCGTGAAGAATCATGATCTTACAATTTAGAACCATGCTTGCAAGATGCTAAAAATGCACAGAATAAGATGGTCAACAAAGGTTGTGACTTGCCAGAAATCTGGGTCAATACATAAAGAATACAGAGCTGTTGTACTACAAGATTACTATTCCAGTCATGTATAAATCAACAAAGTCAGCAACACAAAGAGTCAGACCATCATACGATTTACAAGATATCCCAGGAGAATCAGCGTCCAATAGAGTGCCAAGCTGATGCTTCAGAAGAATCTGCACACTTCAGCAAAGCATTCTTATTCATGCACACAATTTCATCATTAAAGTACCCTCGATCAGAGAGGAGCAGAAGGGAAGTTGAGGAAGTGAAGTTGCTGCTGCAAAACCTAAAGGCCGAAACCCACAACATGTAGAGAGCCCAGAAAATCTAGTGAGAGCTTAACTATAGCATAACTGCTTGTGTGGCGGGGTGGTACGTTTATATTTTATTAAGTAAATGGTTAAAGGACATATAAGGACTGACAATGCATTGCAACCCACGAAATGGACACAGGACAGTTGTACCTTTTACCAAAACCCTTAAAGGTGGGGTAGGTAAGTTTGAGAAACTGGCTCGAGATCGCTAGAATTTGAAAATACACAACCGGAGAAAATCTGCCACTTCCTTATAGAGCCCCTCCTCCAACACACACGAACGCGCACATGACCAATGAGGGCACGAGATAAGTTTGTGCACAGATAGAAGGCTGACAGGCAGGTAGGCCATCCAGTTATTTTAGCTGGGCCGGCTAAAATGATTGGTCGTGCTTTTTACAGTACTACGGCTTCCACAGATGACATTTTTTTATGGATTTTTTGTCAAAGCACTTAAGATATTCATTGCTATCGGGATGTTAAGAGCATTCCATGGAATATAACAAAAAGTGAATCTCGAGCCAGTTTCTCAAACTTACCTACCCCACCTTTAATTTCACAAGTACCAAAGACAATTCACTTAGGGACAGAGAAGCGTTTCAAAATAAACATTAATCTTTATTAAAGTTATAAAAAATAGGAATCTCAAGAAATGGGTGCTGCAAGATAAAATTGTTAGGGAACAAAAACATTTTCAGTTAAAATACTATTACAAAATGTGTATAAAATATATACTTAAGTGGGCTAAGGCCAGTAAATGGGCTGGCCGGCTATGTACCTAAGGTGCTACCATACTATGGAGCTAATTTCCTGCCATAACTCCACAAACAAACTAAACAGGTTTTACAAATGCCTCATGATTCACTAACAAACACAATGTGGTTTGCAAACACAAAACACCATCTACAAACTAATGAATTTAGTTTTGCAAAGAAAAAACGTATCTATCAAAAAAACACATAACATGTTTCTAATAAATCATGTTTCAGAGACAAATTCAGCTTAGGTTTTACAAGTACACAACTTTTTTTTACAAGTACAAAACTTTTTCTTCTCACGGCGGAATATTACTGCCAAAAGTCACGTGACTCACTCACGTGACTTTTGGCAGTAATATTCCGCCGTGAGAAGAAAAAGTTTTGTACTTGTAAAAAAAAGTTTTGTAGTTGTAAAACAAAGTGTTGTAGTTGTAAAACAAATTTGTGTACTTGTAAAAAAAAGTTGTGTACTTGTAAAACCTATGCTGAATTTGTCTCTGAAACATGATTTATTAGAAAAATGTTATGTGTTTGTTTGATAGATACGTTTTTTCTTTGCAAAACTAAATTCATTAGTTTGTACAGTAGATGGTGTTTTGTGTTTGCAAACCACATTGTGTTTGTTAGTGAATCATAAGGCATTTGTAAAACCTGTTTAGTTTGTTTGTGGAGTTATGGCAGGAAATTAGCTCCATACCATACACTCACCAGGTACAGTCACAGCAAACCACACACAGCAAACGGGTAACACTCTCGAGCGCCGCAGTCCACAGCAAACAGTGGGGGTGACCAGAACTTAGCTCCACAAAAAAATCCCAATACATCTCAGTTGGTTTAAACACCATGTTCAAATTGACAAAAATACATACCAAGCCAAAAGCTAAACTATAAGCGAAACTATATGCAACTAAAGCTATACAACAGAAGCTGAAAGCTACAGCTAAATCCAAAAAACGTACAACTTACTACAAGCAAAACATTCAGATAACAAAAATGGACAAAAAACATTGGCAATAAGTAAAGGCAAAACAGATGCTTTAATATAAGACAAATGCAAACCAAAAAAACAAAACAGCAGGTAAAATGGAGGTTCAAAATGGCCCACAATGCGGCAAACAAACAATTTAAATGTTGGGCCCTACTCACAACAGGTATGAGGTTTTAACAAACTAATGGTGTGCAGGACAATAGGAAGCAGGACAAACAGAAAGAAGCAAGTCAGCATATCATAATACAAACCAAGGAGATCAAGTTATCCATGGAATAAAATATTCTGCCTACCTTTACCACCGGCAGTGGCTCAGTCAGTAGGGGCTTGGACTGAGAGCTGTAGGGTTGCCGGTTCAAGTACCCGAACAGACCTAAATATGGAGTGTGGACTGCTACTTGGAGAGGTCCCAGTTCACCTCCTGCCCTGCTGTGGTGCCCTTGAGTACTAGACTCCTGGTACCAGGATGGGTTAAAAGCAAAGCACACATTTCACTGTGTGTGCTGTGTGCTCTGCATGTGTGACCATTAAAGAGGGTTTCATCCCACCCAATTCTATTCTAATCTAGCCAGGTCAGACAGGGACAAAAGCAAGAGAACCAATAGGTGAATTATTTAACCAGTCCTAACCTAACCCAGTGGTTGGGGAAGGAGTCATGGTTTGAGCTACATTCATGAGCACTGCACACCTTTTGGAGTATTACCCACTACACTTGAAATAAATATGGCCTCCCATTTATTTCTGGATTATGTTTATACCTGATTATAGTCAGATAACTGAAACATTTGTCTTCTTTTCTTTTCACTTGAGAACTATCCTAGGATCATGTACAAGTAAACAGGCTTGCTCTGTGGCAAAACAGTGTGTGCGTAAGACACAATCAACGCTCAAGGTTCAAGGCTTTTATTAGTCATACGTACATAGCTACAGTGTAGTTATGACAATGAAAATCTTAGGTCACAGGCTCCTCCAACAGTGCAACACAATAAAACTGAAAAACTGAAAAAATGGTGCAAGTAAATAAGTAAAAATAGTGCAATAAGCCAATAAGAGTCTATATACAAGTGATTGGAATATGATATATTAGATAAATAATTTCTAAGTTGCAGCCAGATGAATGTTATGGATGTTGTTTCAAAAGTTCAGGTGTTTAACAGTCTGATATCTGATGTCCAATATGGTCCAAACTGAAATATCTCAATGAGATGGATGTACTTAGATTTTCCCCTCAGTTCAAATACCTGTCATTGTGAGGTCAAATTGAAATGAGTTCAATACTTTGGTTTAAGGCCAATTACTTTGAATGCTATTTACCTTCCCACTAGCATTAGCATTTAGCAAATATTAGCATGCGAACAGGTTACACTTGTGAAGTATAATAATATACCAAGTAACATGTTAACATCGTCACCGTAGACAAGTTAGCAGGTAAAGCTAACTCAAAGCATCACTGTGTTGAAATCCAGCATTTCAAGAGCCGCTGACCTTTTGAGAACATTTTATATTTTCTGTATATCACAGGCCATTGCAGGGATAATAACCTTCACACAGCTCCAAGCATCTAATGTTTCACAGTGACCTGAAGAAAGAATTCAGATGAACGATAAAAGGGATCAATGCCACTGCAGGGGCTTGCAGCTCCACACCTGTTCTCCTGGGTTTCTGTGGGCCTTTGTGCAATAGTATCACAGAGTCTCTTGTAGAAAATGTTAATGTAAAATTAGCTCAAACCACAAAAGACCAGAGTATAAGATTGCTTTATTATGGAATATACAAGCCATAATTTATCCTACATTCGTAATAAGCTTATAATGAATAACTAAGTGCAACATCAAGAAGGTCACATTAGCACAAGCATATAGTAAAAACAGGCAGCACATGTTTGTTCAACCTACATGAAAATGAAAAAAGTGAATAAATTATAAGTCACATTAATGTATAAGACTGAAAGCCATGGTTGAAAGTTAGTTGCAAGGGCATTTCAAAAGTCCCAATTGCTCATGAAACAGACAGTCCACGTGGAGAGCGAGTGCACGGCTGCCCAGGTCTCTGTGTGGTGGTAGAATCTGGTCTTTGTTGAACGTGTGATGCATCACCACCAGAATCACAGTCTCACATTTTCATTCTTTGTTACAGACAGAAAGCTGAGGTCACAGTTCAATGCAGGAAAAAGACAAACATAAGAAAACTTTTCCATGTGCGTTTGGGTTTCTGCATTTCTACCTGGGATGCTGGATAACGCTGAGAGAATGTCGGTCTCATAACGACTGACAAGGGGGCAGAAGACGATAATAGCCTTAGCCTTATCAATTGGGTCCACAACCTTTGCCCCTCTCTTGGTGAGCTTTCGAAGAAACTCACGATGAATCCCAAGGGTGTTTCCGGTTACATGTGAGAAGATCTTCATTATGTTGTTTCTGAAAAATAACAAAATAATCACATTTTAAAGGGGACCTATCATGCAAAATGCACTTTTGTACGTCTTTTATACATGAATATGTGTCCCCGGTGTTCCAGGGAACTCACCAAGTGTCAGAAAACACAACCCTCTCTATTTTCCTCCATACCCAAATCTCTAAAAAAGGGGCTACAACCGATCTGATAAAAACTGATCCAGATTTGAACACTGTCCTGACGTCAGGACAGTGGCGCTACGGCTATTGGGCCAACTCCACCAATCAGGAGGAGACAGCCATGGCCATTGCCGTTCGAAAGCGCTGGAGACGCTGTAGTACATATGCCAGGCCTGTAGGTGGTGCTGTTCTCACAGAATCAGCCCTTGCAAAAACAGAGCTAACATTTTTCAAATTGAGCGAAATGAGGCATGGCTAAAATGCATGATCTGTTTGGTATTTTAAAAAAAAAAAGTATAAATATGCCTTATATAGGTATGGTCCTACACTATATTATTCAAATATAGCATGATAGGTCCACTTTAAGTTAACAAATAACTTCTCAATCAGATCATTTTGATCACTTTAATCTTATAACAGTCAATGGCAATACATTATTACAATAACAATATTAAAATGATGTCATGTTTATGCTATCAGCAGAAAAAGAACAGATGATTTGGATTAATGTCATAACTATGATTTGTGTAAACAGGATTTTTTACAAGCTCTTCTAGTCACATACCAGATCTAACAGGAGGTTTGGACCTAGCTTCGATCTGATGGCCCTAATCATGCTGTTCTGTAGATGCAGGATAACGTTTTTTGCCCATGATTTGCTAGAAAGTTTAAGGAATATCTATCTGTTCAAACATTCAAAAATGTCCTCTTAAGAACGTTTTTTAACCATTGTATTTTTTCAACCTATTACTTTCGACATCTGAACCTTAACCCAATACAATGTGGAAGTAAAACCAATGTTTACACACAAAGGGAGGCTTTTAGTAAGCATTATCATCAACTTTTTACACGTTTTACTAAGCTTATTGTACTACCAAAATAAATGTCACAGCGTAGAGAAATATTTTCGGACTTTTTCGCTGATATTTCTTGAAACCCTTTGCCCAAGACGACTGTTGCTTCTCAATAACAATCAGAATATCTTTAATGACTCACAAGCATTTGATATTTCAAGTTAACTTACAGTTTTATAATCGATGTGTTTTGGTTTCATGACCGAACAGCCTCTGTCCATTTTTTCCGGAAATCCAATGTTTTTTTGCCTTAGAAGCTTTTACTTTCAGTTCAAATTCAAGATTACGTAGTGGCTGCAATGCCACCAGCAGGTGTCAGTGTTGTACTATCTTTGGTGTAGTTGCAGTTATTAGGCCTTAAAGATTGCACCGTATTTTTCATGTGAAGTATAAACCAGTTGAAACTAAACAGAAGATATGTCAATACAGGAATTAAACATTTATAACATGGCCGAATTATTTAGGTGTTTTCATTCTAGCTCTTAATATCTTATTGTAACAGCAACTATTCTTTTCACAACAGATACTAAATATACTGTTTTTATAACTGGCTTTACATCATATCTGTTCATTGTGTCAGCTTCTGAAATACTAGACCACTTGACTGCCTCAGGTCAGGAATAAATCATTAATTTGAGTAAGCTACATTCATATTATTACACTGACACACAAACATCACTGTGACTGTCACTAAACAAAACAGCGTGGTGTGTGTGTTTGTGTGGTGTGTCTGCGAGGGGGTGTAAACTGTATCTGTGGGAGTGATGATTCTTCACCCATCTGTAATGTAAAGTTGACTGGATCATCTGTATCTGCACCGTCAGGACAGGCTGACATTTCCTCCTCAGGCTTCACTTACCTCTGACAAATGAGCAGGGCTGCTGATGGAGTGGTCAGTGGGCAAACTATGGCCTTTATTCAGTGATCACCAGAATAGAAACCAGCAATGTTGAGAAAAAGACATTCAGCTTTTTCAGACATAGGCCTACTGTATGATTGCCTTTAATGATTTCCATAACACTTACATCATTATGTTCTTTCATATGAGACTCACGTTGAACACTTTTGCTAAAACCAAGCTTATTTTATACCAATGCCAGTAAACGTGAAAAAGGCTACTATCATTGTTCTCTTAACAGTTTAATAGTTGCCTAATTTTAAATGGGTCATGTGTCTTTTCATATGTGATCTGTATAAGAAGGCGTTGACATAAATTGTTTCACACATCAGTCTAAAAATGAATGCCACCCTCCCCTGTAATAACCTTAAACAAGACATGTGTTCAGTAAATTGAATTCAGGTTAAGCTGATTTAAGGCACCAGCATCCCTGATGAAAAAAACAAGCGGCAGCAACAAGCCGCACACTCAGCAGAGGTGATTATAACATTTAATCACTGAGACCTATCGCCGAGTGTTGCAAGGCTTCTCGCCGCAAGGTTTGATTTACCCGCCCTCTTCCTGAGGAAAAATCTCATTCACTAGACGGATTGCTGAGCGGGCCTCTCCGACCGGCCCCTATAAATCATTCTTTAATCAGAGGCCTCTGAGATTGGGCGCAGACACCCGCGGGAGCACCGCTGTGACACCTCAACTCCTCCCCGTGCGTCTCTGCAGTCCGGGGAGTTTTTATCCTCTTCTGTTTCTTCCTCGAGGTTGTCTGCATTTGTATCAGTCATGAGGAAAGTAAGAGGGATGACCCGCCCTGCACTCTGCGCCCAAACACTTCCTGTTTAGAAGAGATTGATGCTACAGAACACCAGGAAGTTGTTTTTTAGGCTGCAAGAGAATGTAAGCTATGGGTCACAGCTAACCGGGTAAAGCAGAAAACAAAGTGGGGGCAACGGAGGGTTAATGGGAGCCCAGTAGCTCATTTTCGCCCCGGGGTCCCACAAAGTGGTTATCCGGCCATGCTGAGGATTAGAAAATGGAGACCACTGAGAAATTCCTCTCAATTATGTTGCCAATAGTTCCTTCATAACTAAAAAAGAATGATGGCCGACATCTCTGAGTGTTTTTATCTTGTTATCTGCAAACAAGACGGACAACTAAATATATTACATAACCGGACAGATGGGTGCTGGATCACAGGAAGTTAATCTATTTCGGGGTCACTGACACTTGTATTGTTGTTGCTTGTTATTGTCACCAGTAGATTTTTCTGAAAAAGTACTTAGTACAGTAAAGCCGGTAAGAAATAGAATTCAAATTCAAATATAAATGTACTACTGAAGTCTAAAGGTATATGATAGGGCCAAAAACAGACCCAAAAAAGTATAATACTGTAGAAAAAAATAGGGCCTGTGTATGCTCCACATTAGGGCTGCAGCTAACAAGTATTTTCTTATTGATTAATTTGATTATTATTGTAATGATTAATCAATTTGGTTGGGATGATAAAATGTGAGAAAATAGTGAAACATGTCTTGGTTTGTCTAACTTCCAAGATATACAGTTGTATCACAACTGAAGGAACCATTCAATTATTGGTTATCAAAATAGTTGCATATTCTTGTGACTTAACTCATTGATTAATTTACTAATCGTTTCAGCTTTACTAAGAACCGATCACTCAATTTTAGCTGAAAGGTTGTTCAATGTCGACGCTCCACTGAGGTTTAAGGTTTATTATTTGAACCAGCAGTTGAGAAACCAATTTCACCACAAGATCCATTGATGTAGCTTTTCTGGAGCTTTTGATCATATGTCATGATCTTCATCAACAGATGGAGTTCGCCCAGCTGTCAAAGAATTATAAATTACGTTCAACATTTTATTTAAGAAAAATGGTCGGAGCACTTTTTGGACAAATTGTAAGAACAGAAGAAAACTGATTTAAGTTCAACTCAACTGACAGCTAGTTGATATGTTAACACTGGAAATGTGTGCAAAAACCATGAAATCAAACAACATTTTTATTATCCCATATCAAGTATCATATTACAGTAGTATTTCAATATCCAGAAATGTTACCCAGGTCACATACACTGAAAAAGATTAGACTCAGCTGGATGACCCAGCTTCCCGTGGATGGATAGCTGCAGGTTAGGACCATGGAAATATCAAAGTGTGAATGTGTATGGAGTTTCATCTGGAATTTTTGATTGCTTATGTGCTTTTGGTGTAAAAGTGTTAGAACCACATTTAGATTAAATGTCACAAATGTATCATACTCATAAGTGTTGCTTCATCCTTGTCAACTACATCAGCCTCATTTGAACCTATATTCAAATCATACTGAATCTCACCTTGCCTGAAAAAAAAATGGGGGGTGCAAATAAACTCATCTCCAATGTGTGCAATGCAGCAGCTATCATATATCTGTGCCATAAAAAGGAACTTGAAGATGAGAAGTGAGTAAAGTCAGCTGAATGAGGGGAGAGAGATGATTTTCTTTTTTCAAAATGCAAATATGCTGTGACGTCACCGTGTTGAAATATTTTTCTGTCGCTCAGCCGGTTTGGAGCTGTCAGAGCGCGCGCACTCCCACTGCTTCTCACTCGTGCGTGGTGACCATGGAGACGTCCCGGAGTTTTTTTTGAGGAGGATGTCATTTCCAAACTCAGTGTGCAGCGAAGGATGCTTTTTCAATTAACGCACTGAGGAGATTGGACACAGATGGATTGTGTTAATGCGCTCCGCGATGAACTAATGGGAGTGTTGACTACCAACTGACAAGACGCAGAAGTTGTCTTAATTCTCTGCTTTGGAGACAGTTCGGACACTTAAGCGACTAAAACAATCAGAAAGGACGGAACGCAGAAATCAATTAGAAAACCATGCACTGTTCATATCCATGGAGAGATGGCATGCGTGCTCCTCTTCAGTCGACTTCATCCCTTCTCACACCGGCTCACAAGAACATCCATTTGCTTATTATCGCTTTTTCTCTCTTATCTGTGCTACTGTGCACTGTTCCCTGCCGATACCATCATGCAAAAGTCAGGTGATCCGACACCCAGCTGTCAGCGCGTCCTGGCCGATGGAGCCAAAAGGCGCATTCAGAAAACACCTTCATGCGTTTTGCCTTTGGATGCGAGACCGATCATCGTCGAGGTTTCTCGGCTGAAATCCGACCAAAGACCTCCGTCAATTCTCCACATCGACACCCCCAGTCCTCCCATGGGTAACTTAAAGTTTGGGAATAAAAAGTTACCAAACGCTATTATAGTTGGTGTGAAAAAGGGAGGCACCAGAGCTGTCCTGGAGTTCATAAGGATTCATCCGGACGTGCGAGCAGCTGGAACCGAGACACACTTCTTCGACCGGAACTATGACAGAGGTCTGGAGTGGTACAGGTAAGAGCATGACCCACCTGTACAGGTAGCTACTTATGTATCTGTAAAATAATCTTCTAAGGGATAACCTGCAAATGGCACCACTTTAACTATGTGAGCCAAGAAATCAAATATGTGATCAATTGCTAAACTTAAAACCAAATTACACCAGTAGTCACTGTTTTGCAGTCTGTAAGAGGTGTGAAAAATGATCAGCTTCAATTTGACTTCTAATTTGGCTGGTGCCTTCAAAGACTCATGGGAACGTCTGGACATTTAGTGCTGATGGTCAGCTGTGTCTGTATCTCAAAATTAATGTATCTGCTCATGCCTGGCCTCCATAGCTTAACTGAGTAATTAATACATCAAATAATGTCAAATGAGGATGATGATAAAAATGATGAAGATATTTCATGAATACAGGAGTCTTGTATCATTTTACATTTCAATGTGAAGTGACTTTAGATGGGAGTTAAGCCATAGTATGTATTTTTTCCTATTTAATTTGTATTATTTTAGAGGATGTTTCCTGATAAAATACTTCAAATAATGAAAAAGAATAGCCAGATCTGACATAAATGGTCTGCCAGTTATTGTTGTGCAAGTGCCTCTGAAAATGATGTCCAAATTAAGTCAGCTGCTTTCTGTTCAAATCTGCCATTTCCTTTCTCTCTTCCCTTGGTGTCTCTACATTATGTTGTGAGGTGTGCAAACATGCTTTATGTGATTTCTGCAGTCTCTCGACTCATTTCGTCTCTTATTGCAGGAAAGGTTATGAGCTCTGTTTACTTGTTTGGATTTATCGTAAAAGCAATTTATCAGATTTCTCCCAACAAAAAAAAAGTCAGAGCTCTTGAGGCAAACAGTGTAAACTGCGACATGCGGGCCTTCTGTTGCTGGCAGGCCCCTGAGCTATTGTCTTGTTTGTATGTAGCAATTAAACTAATCTCAATGAATATAAAATGAAATTATTTGTTTTCTAAAATGCTACATGAAGCATTTTTAACCATCTGCAACTAATTACGAGAGTTTCTATATAATGTATACGGTATCCCATAGATGAAACATCTGCATTGTTATTTGAACTCCTAATTACAGATGTATCCAGAAATGCTATGATTTAGTCATGAAATATCATGCGTACACGCTGACAACAAATCATGCACAAACACACTCATGTTAATGATCAGCTGTCATGCAGCCTGCAGGAGGGATGTGTTTCAGCAGTTTTATAAAAAAAATATGAAATGAAATTACCTCCGCTAATTGGCATTCTTCAGTGTGGTGAGCGGCTGAAGACCTTTTTATCTCAGATATGTGTCTCGGAGTCGTAAACCCTTCGCCTATTACAGCACTTCCATTGTCAGCTGTCAAAGCTGGTGAGAAAAAGGTCAAATGCCAACGCACCGACTTTGAGTATTGATTTCAAAACAAACAGAAGCTTCTCAAGAAACTCTCATATAACAATCACCAATAAAGGCCATACTGTTGATATAGAAATGTAAAGATATGCAATACTGACACAAGTTAAAGCAGCAATTCAGTTATTTTAGTGGTGATTTTGGGTACAACATCTGCACCCTTTTTAGTCTGTGCCCTATGGTCTCTGGTGTTCATTTTCCAGCTATACTACAGTATCATCTGGCTGGTGCACTTACCAAATCTCCATCTAATTAAAGAGGCCCTGGTATGCTTTTTGGGGCTTCCCTTTCCTGTGGTGTGTTATATAGGTTTCTGTGCATGTAAATGGTCTGCAAAGGCTAAAATCCCAAAGTTCCCACTAGGGTTAGGGTTAGATAGATGGCTAGGTGGAGTTTCTCTCCCAAACACTTGCCTGAAACGCCTCCATTGTAGTTCTTTGTTTACTTCAGTAACATAGTGACATCACTATGTTAACACTCACGCTTCTATTAGCTAGCGCTCCAACTCATTGTACGTGATAGGCTAATGGGCGGGACATCTCTAAGCGGTTGACCAATCACAACAGAGCCGGCCAGCTAACCAATCAGAGCAGACTGGGCTCTGGTTTCAGACAGAGGGTGAAAAGAGGTGCTGCAGTACATTAAAGCATGTAAACATGTCACAGTAGAGGCACAACATACAAATATGAACCTGAGAATGAGCATAATAGGGCCCCTTTAATGCCACTTGTGTAGGGATGTAACATTTCTGAAATGGGGCCAACTTGAGACCCTTGAAAATCGTAATGAAGATTTTTAACCCCTTTTCTAACTTCAAACTCTTACTCTGTGAAGGCTTACCTGTTTAATTCATCACTTTCAAAGACGACAATGGCCTAGTTTGAAGACCCAGAAGTAACCTAACAGAGTCACTGTGCTATATGTGTTCTGTTTGCATTCACGGTGATTTATTACTCTGGCGTGGCCGCGCTGATGAGCAGGAGAGCTGTCTGCAAGACAATTCTCCCGTGACAACAGACTACCATGACTTTGTCTCCTATTATAATTTACATCAAGAAACTAGGTTCATGGCCAAACTCGAGCTTCTCAGCTCTCGATTTTATGCCATGCATCTCACTTGTTTAATCCTGCCCTAAATAATAGAACAAATGGACACTTTTCCTTCAAACTGAGTGAATGCAAGGACGTCCTGTCCTCTGTGTCTGAATCTGTTAGCCTTTGTAGGAGTGTGAGCATTTTAAAACAGCAAGAAAATGTCAGAAAAATACACTTAATGTGAATGTAAATGAGAAACCTTTCTCTTTCAGGAATGTTTACTTTGTGTTTTCATCTTTCATTCAGAGGTTTAATGCCAAGGACTCTTGAAAGCCAAATCACAATGGAGAAGACACCAAGCTACTTTGTGACAAAGGAGACGCCGCACCGGATCTCCGCCATGTCCCGGGACACCAAGCTCATCGTGGTGGTGCGGGACCCCGTCACCCGTGCAATATCAGACTACACTCAGACTTTGACCAAATCTCCCGACCTGCCGAGCTTCCAGGATCTGGCCTTCAGGAACCAGAGCCTGGGCATTGTGGACACGTCGTGGAACGCCATTCGCATCGGCCTGTACGCTCTGCACCTCGAAAACTGGCTCCGCTACTTCCCTCTGGCTCAGATCCACTTTGTGAGTGGGGAGCGTCTTATCACAGACCCTGCAGGGGAGTTGGCACGAGTGCAAGACTTCCTTGGGTTAAAGCGCATTGTCACAGACAAACACTTCTACTTCAACCGCACCAAGGGCTTCCCCTGCCTGAAGAAGCCGGAGAGCAGCGGCTCGCCTCGCTGCCTGGGCAAGTCCAAGGGCAGGACTCATGTGCAGATAGACAGAGATGCTATTGAGCAGCTGCGGGACTTCTATAGACCTTACAACATTAAGTTTTATGAAATGGTGGGTCATGACTTCAAGTGGGAGTAGAGGTTGGAGTGATATTTTTAAATGGAAGGAGAAAGATTTATGTATTTCACAAATTCAAAAATAGGATGCCTGCATTGATATTACATGGCTGAGGCGGATAGAGAAATATCAGCACTCTCCTGAAATCTTAAGAGTGAAACTGAAAAGCAGTACTATTTTTCGAAGTGAGACGTAATAAATATAGGAATATCTACGACGACATTGCTTTTGCACTTGTAATGATCAGTTACCAGCCAGCGTCAACATCCTGTTTGTGGCCAAATATAGCCCTCATTTCAGCTTCAGGATCACACAATGTCTTTTCCTGCATTATTGCTGACTAGATCCCCCATTTGCTGACTGGTTTATAAAAAGAGGACATTCCAGGGAATGGGATTAGTTCTTCTTAAAACCTGCTTCACTAATCAAGGCAGGGCTTGAAAGCAAGACCTTGGAAAATGTCAGCAAAGTCTTCAGGGAGAGGAGAATTAAGCTGCAGCACTGTGGTGGTAAATCTGAAATGTAAAGCCATAACGCAAGTGGGAGTCATCTAATATCACTTACTGTTGGTCTCATCAGTTTCTATACAGAGGGGAAGGGTTTCTGTCTCCTTATTTCCAGCATGAATCCTGTAAGTTAGTACATGCAGCGCTTCACTTTGTTCTCTGTGCTTTATTTGCCAAATCCATGTTTATATTTTTGTTACCAAAGTATTTCATCACATGCCTTAGCCACAATGCTTGTCCATGAACTTAATTAAAAGAAACAGAAGCACACATATATTTTGGACATTTATTTCTGTCTCCTCTGAACTATTTATCTTAATGTTGTTCAATGCCTGAGTGCAAAGCTAAGAAAAACTTCTGATTCTGTACAATACCTTTCTTTTCTTGTCAGTGAAATGTGTGCTTTTGAACAGATAAGACTACATACATCCTTCCCCCGTGGTGGGACTGAAAACATACTTCTGTAAGGTTTTGTTGTGAGCTTCAGTCGTGGTATGCGGACGAGTGGGCGTTGGTGTAAGGAATGTCAATCACTTTTCAGAGACAAAGCAGGGTACATCTAGCTGTGGCAGGTTATCAAATGCATTCTGGGACTGCATATCACATGGTTACGCTGGAAATGTTGGGTTTGGCTGCACGGTATGAACTGAGTTGAAGCCAGACTCTGAAACAATGTTAAAACAAAGAGGAAACTACCTTATGAAACATAAACTGGGTTCAAAGAGATATCTTATTCTCATCAGTCACTCAATTTCCACATCACACATTATGATGTTACAGGTAAAGCTTTTGATCACACTTTAAATGTATACTCGAAACTAAATGGGAATTATTGAGTTTACAAGGTATCAATACCTATATTTAAGTACTAGGGAAACCATGGGGAATAGGTGTGCTCAAAGAGAAATGAGAAATAAGTGACACTATTTATGTCTTTATTCATTTATTTAGTGAGTACGGGAATGTGACAAGGCATCAGAAAGGACTATTTATAGATAGATTATATATTTTTTAGCAATCTAGGAAAAACGGGTTTCTCAAATATTGATTATTTATGTCAGTATGATCTTGGAATAATGATAAGATACATGGGGTACAGTGTTACCGTCAGTAATAATATTGTGGCAAACTCTTCATAAATACATGTGATGTACCTGAATAAGGAATATGTCTCGAGGTTATGGCCAAATATTGTTTGGCAAGGCATTGAAAAATTGGGATGTAAAATAAAAGTATTGTTGCAATAACAGGCTGTAAATTAAAAAGAAGACTTTAAGTGTAAGGTTAGTCTACTTCTTCCCTTGTACATACATCAGTAGTATTTCACAGGAACCCTGTTAGAGCTATGCAATGATTATTAAATCAATATCCTAACATGTAGATCCACAAGCAGACACATCGACAGTGCATATAGACTTGTGAGGATTCACTGAGGTACAGAATACAGAGCAGCAGAGACTTACTCAGCATGTTAATGTGTATCTCAAGTATTAGACGTTAGAACATTGAACTATGAGTTTCCTTAACTAATAACATTCATTAATAATGATTTGGCTCTCCGTGAAATGTAGGACATCTTGGTCCTCGCTGTTATCTTCCTACCTCAGAAGTTTGAATACTTCTTCATCTGAAGCCTTACTGAAATGTGCATGTAACAGAGTGTGCTTTGAAGATTTCTCTGTGTTTGACATAGAAATACTGAAAGTGGAGCCGGGGAGGCTTAAAACCTGCTTTTGTTTTTACTCCGCTATATTTTCAAACTCTCTGTCTCCTTCCTCATTCTTTGCATCGACTGCAAATGCTCACATTGTTAAGAGAAGAATCCTGAAAGGCGCTCCGCTCAGTGACCCCCTTCTCAGCACAGACGTCTGCTTTCTCTCTCTCCCCGTCCCAACATTCATTAAACTCACAGGACCCTTCAGGCTGGGGCGTGCAGTCAGTACGGCTGCACCACCTCTGATGCCCTGCTTGTCATCATCATGCCGGCCAGCAGCTCATTTCTGGGGCTTTTTTTAGAGCCAGCGCAGGTGAGCGTCTATCCAGTCGTCACAGAGAGCTGCATCTCTCTCTCGATGGTACACATGGGTCCTCATTAGGCCTGAGGGCTGGAAAGGAGCAATCCCGGAGAACAAGCAGCAGCCAGACTCTGATTAGATTCTGCTAGTGAACGGCTCTCCAGAGATTGTGCAGGTCAAAACTCTCTTTTTTTCTCTCCTCGCACATATACACACACTCAGCTTTCTTTTTCAAATATGAATTCCCTCAGGAAGCAGCACATGCAAATCATCAAATCCCTTGCATTTCCGAGCACCATGACTTGACCTATTTGCACTGCTGCTAATGAGGTGCGTGTTAAGCTTAATGAGTATTTGTTAAAGCTGATGTGTGAATATCGTGTTGATTATGAAACATTATGACTCAATTTCCCTATAGGTTAATTTGGAATGTGTTGAATGTTTGGATTCTTTCCTACAATTCACATGATTTGATCCCTGTGGAGCAGCCTGGTCATTATTTAATGCTGAAAAGACTTGAAGGAGCTGAATGGATCAATATTATGGTGAACTGTTCATAAGTGCTAGTTTTTGCTGAGACTAATAATAAGCCTTCAAGGACAGGAGCAGACACATATTGTTATTTTTTTATCTTTCACAGTCCTTAGAGAGTTTTAGAAAGAGGCTTAGAGCTCGCCTGATAATGATTTCTGAACATTGGGATCTGATATTGATTAATACTTGAAGCAGCAATATATATATTTTTAACTGTAGGGGTGAGGGTGAACATCAAAATAGATAAGTTCAACTTTTCTTTGAAACACTAAGAAATAAGTTGAATCCAGCGCGTGGGTTGGAGAGAAACTTTAAATGTTTAAATGTCACGCTGATGTACATCACATAATGTAGTTCACCCACAGGCTCCCTGTTGGTTAATGTAGCTCCAAACATCCACTCTTTTGGATTTTGAATGAGCCTAGAAGTGAGATAGAAGCTGCAGCATTGGATTATATCAACAATGAATCTTTCCTTGAAATGTCAGTAATGCAGTCAATTTTACATGTGATTTTTAATAATACAATAACAAGTTGTAATGCATGCCAACAGGGAAGTGCATTTTACAAGCATGCTCTATTTTAGACGCACCAAATTAAAATAGTTCACACAGCTTTCCTTGTCCTTTTGCCCGGGAATTTCATATGAGATAGAATGAGGTTTCCTGGTATCCGAGGGAGACAGCAGCTGACACTGCAGGCACAGATTCAGCAGTGCACCTCGTTCAGTCCTAATGCTTCAGAATAGTTTAACTTCTGCAGCCGACAGGATGTCCCAGTGGTCGAAATCACCAGTGGCTTAGGAGCCAAATTAAAACCAAGTGCTGACAACTGTGGCACAGTCTCAAGAACGTAATGATACATGTTCTACAACTATTTGCAGACCAGTGTAGAATCCGTGGTCTGTGGGGATGACACTTAATAAGTGTTCAATTTATGGAGGAAAAGGAAGTGGAGAAGAAACTAAAGTTTTAAAAGTCACCTAATATGCAAAATCTACTTTTTCATGTCTTTTATACATAAGTGTCTTCTCTCTGTGGAGATTCAGAAAGTTTCAGGAAAAAATATTCTCTGCCCCATGTCCTGATCCATTTATATTAAAACCCCCTAAAAGATAAGATGATCAGATTTTGGCCACTTTGTGATGTCACAATGTTTTTTTGGGTTGTGCAACCATTAGCCAATAACCAACCAAGGTAACACCCCCCACCTTGTTACCGAAATCTTCTCCTAGAGCATCATTGTGTGTTTTTAAACCGAACACTTCTCAGAGGGGCGTGAGGGGTGGCAGTTATTTTGCATTTAAACCTACCGGCACAGAATCAGCACCTTTGAAACAGAGCTGAAACAGAGGGGATTATGGGATGCTACAACGCATTATCTGTTTGGTATTTAGAGCCAAACCCTTCAGAGACATGTTTTGTTTATATCTGAGACCTATAATATATTGTTGCAAAAGAGTATAATAGGGGATCTTTAATTGAAATGTATTTCTAAATGTGACCATGTCATTGGCCAGTGTAAACGCACGATAAATCTTTTTTTCATTTGCATTCAGATCCTTGCATCTCTGTTACACATCAACAGCCGCCTGCCCACCCCTTTTTAACTCGTCTCCAGCTGAGAGGGAGAGGACGTCGACAGAGATGTGAGATTTTTGTTGGCCACGTGCCCTTTCAAGATTCAGATCTGTGAAATCTTGCAAAGTCCTCCAAATTAGAAACAGTTGTTCAGTGCCATCTCTCCGTTGTTGCATCCGTTTGTCAGACGAGCGGGAGTCTGTTTTCTGTGGAGCGGCTAAAGTGAGGTTGAAAGCTGATTAGATTGGAGCAGTAGTCAGACCTCAGCGTCTCTCTCACCAGGAGATGTGTTCTAATTAGAGTGTGTGCCTCATGTCTCACTGAGGAGAATAACAAACCTCGTCCCAAGGCTGCCTCCAGATGAACCTCACATCCACCGCAAACCAAAACACATCTGATGCATCAGCAACCCCTGGACTCCACCGCACACCTGACTCGACATGCGGCGCATTAGGATTTTGATGGTGGGTTTACATCGTGTGGCACCGCTCTCCAAGCAGGAGGCCTCGCAGAGTGGAGCAACAATGAGGGGGGGGGGGGGGGGCTGCTCTGCCTCCTGTTATAATGGTCTTCCAGGCTTTCAAATCCTAATCATTAGCAAACCAATGGAAATGATATCAGTAGAGCAGCCATATGTACAGTATGCTGCATTTTTACCGCGAGGAAGGGGTGTTTTTTCAACATATGGAGCAGTCTAGAAGGAGGGACAAACTGAACGTGGATGGCATTCTGGGGGAAGTGATTATGGGATGATCCTGCATAAGCCTGCTCCAATGTGTGAAGCTATTTTAAATTGCATGTCAGTCTTGGTTTGTGGTGCAAATTCATTGACACATATATATAGGGTAATACAGATTGTTGTACGGCAGACAAATTAGATATGAAAGCTAATTTATGTTGAAATTACTCCTCAAATGTTGTGACGAAGATTACATTTGACCATTTTGGATGTAGAAAGAATTTGTGATGAGTAAATAATAATTTTGTTTTTGTGCAGAATTAAAATGTCTTTAAAGCTGATCAAATAGTTGCGTAATGTTGCTTATAGCTGCAAGACTTACATTTTCCTGTACATATATTAAAGCAAAGTTTGATTCATTAAGTAT